AGATTTATCTGTCATGAACTGTTTGGAGTAGACATATTGCTTGATGAAGATCTCAGACCTTGGCTTCTGGAGGTGGGAAAAATTTTTTATTTTGATTTAAATCGATTGTGTCTCTGAAAAGTTCAACCCCTTTAATTCCTGATACTGCCAAAAATAAGATTTTGCGCTATTGAAATTGCAGAAGGGAGTAGACTTCAAACATGGTTGGCTGCGACTCTGTCACCACTTTGAGGGCAGCCAATTTGCAGTATTTTTATGTTTTAGGTGAACATCTCACCTTCACTGCATTCTGGAACGTCATTAGATGTTTCTGTGAAGGCTCCACTGGCAAAAGACGTTCTCAACATGGCAGGAATTTGCGTTCCTCCTAGGTGGGATATATTTCAATTTTTTAAATTTTTGCACGCTTTCGCGTGATAGATATTAATGCTGACACTTTTCTTTCCAGTCCCGAAGAATTAGCTTCAGCAGATTATAGCACAAAGCCTCGAAACTGGCCGAAGGAAGAGGAGCACGTTCAGGTTTGTGCTGTTAAAGCCCAAGTGGAGATGTGCTTTTTTTCTGTTATTCCATTATAACTCAAAACTGCCACGCGTATCTTCTTGTTGTTGCAATCTGGGAAATGCACTTTTACTATTCAAACTGTAATGACTACCTGAGACCTGCCGAATATATATTGTAAATCCTAAGAACTTCTTAGTGTTGGAAAAGGAAGGAAGAGTAGGGTAGAGAAGTTGGGAACTGAAAGGACAACGAAGGAGAGAAAGCGGATGCTTCGCATTTGTATCTGGGTCGTCACTTTACATTTGGGATGAGTTTTGCATCCCATTTTCACGTCTATGAATTCACACCAACAATACAAAATTTGGATTCTTGGGGTTTTTTCATCAGATCCAGGAGGTTTTAAGACATATTAAATTATGGGTGGCAAATAGCTTCACCGCGATTTCATTTGAAATAAGAAATTATCATACATTCAGTCACTTTAGAAGCTTGTATAATTTACATCTCAATTGTTTTCGGGTTACATAGCGTTATATATGTTTTGCGGAAATTATTTTGGCTTTGAAAGAGAACGACTGCCAACCGTCACTGTACAGTCATAAATGTATTGTCGAAAGGCACAATTCGTTTCCCAAAATCACAAGCGGTTCTTTATGGTAATATGGCATTTTGCTTTTCATTCAAAAACCTAGACAAAAATGCTTTCTTGATAAGATGCTGACTTCGCATATGCTGTCAAAATGTCTTTTGTGGCAATTCGAAAACCACATATGCAGTATTTACGATATACTTGACCTTTACCTAGTCGCCCCTTATAGAGTTCGTTGCTTCTTAATCCAAGATCTCAGGTCTATTTGGATTTTGTCAAAACTGTTTTTGCTTTTTCTTATAGTCTACCTGGCGCTTCCATTAAAGCCAGCTTAGTCATATGATTGTTATGTTTCTCTCTCCTATTTACATGTCCATACAAGCGCTTCTCGTCATCTTCTGGACTATTGCCGCAACCTCATTTGCGATATAACTATGTTGTTACAGATGTGATGCATCATCGTAAGATTGAAGGTCCTCTGCGCCATCTTAAGTCTCCATGACATCAGTCCTGTTCCCTTCTTTCCGTGCTTGGCCAAAATTCTGCCATACAATGATGTTGGACGGATTATAGTATGATACATCTCTGATTTGAAATGCAACGGCATTTAGTTGTTGCAAAGGACACCTGTTGAGCTCCTTCACTTTGCACAGATTACACTTGTTCTGGCCGGCATCTCCTTTCCGATAGGCAATTTCCAGATATGCAAGGGCTTCATTTTCTTAAGTGGCTCGCTACTGATGCAGACGGTCCTAGAATCATGACTTTCCATCAACATGTGCTCGGTCTTCTTCGTGTTGAGCTTCAAGCCATGTCCAGTTGGTTCTCTCATCTCTGCACTTTTTGTCCTACCATCAAGAACATCTTATCTGCAGAGTCAGAGCAGAGCTTTCGTCACAGCATCCCTTACTGTGACAAAGAGCGAGAGGGATTACCGATCTTTAATGAACAACCTTGATCGGAACATCCATGAATGGCCGCCTGTTGTCTGCATATGGTTTTAGCATCATGGATCAATTTAGTCCATTCGATGTATTTTTACAGGACCATACGTTTTGCAGCGCCCCCCATATAGCGTGTAAGGGATCTTGTCGAATGCTTTCTAGATTCATGAAAGCTGCATGCAACTCTTTTTCTCTGTACTTCTCCAACACCACTCAAGCAGTACGGAGGTATTGAGAGAACTAGAACCCTTTACAGTCTTTACTATTCTATAATCTTTTGCAGTCGTGTCTCAAGCATAGTTTCGAAGATCGTTGGGGTGTGACACACCATCGTATTGGTCGGCACATTGTGCGATCTGCGACACCACCTTTATTCTTCCATACTAGGATCGTTGTGCTGGTGGACCATCCAGGAGGCATGTACTTGGCTCTGACTTGATCGAAGGGGCCCAAGAAGCAAAAAGCGCTGCGCTGTCCACACTCTTTCCAGAAGTCTTGGGGATACATATGGAGTTGCCTCACCGATTTTTGTCTTCGTTATTACAAGCCAAACTTTCTTTTCTGTGAAGAATGGCACTAGTCCTTTTGTAGGATCAGCTAGCGTGATCCTGCTAGCAGTGGAATCTGTACATCCTGTTTTCGAAGAATGTCCGCCTTTCTTTGTAATAGCCTGAGGTTTCCTGAGTCTTCCAAGCTTACTTTGATTTGGTAAAAGTCCCTCGTATCTTTTATGTAGTCTGCTCTTCTTCTCGCGATTC